GAGGACTCTTTAAAGTAGAGACACTACATACTGATATACACCTGAACATCAGGAGGAGAGGACTCTTTAAAATAGAGACACTACATACTGATATACACCTGAACATCAGCAGGAGAGAACTCTTTATAGTAGAGACACTACATACTGATATACACCTGAACATCAGCAGGAGAGGACTCTTTAAAGTAGAGACACTACATACTGATATACACCTGAACATCAGCAGGAGAGGACTCTTTAAAGTAGAGACACTACATACTGATATACACCTGAACATCAGCAGGAGAGGACTCTTTAAAGTGGAGACACTACATACTGATATACACCTGAACATCAGCAGGAGAGGACTCTTTAAAGTAGAGACACTACATACTGATATCCACCTGAACATCAGCAGGTGAGAACTCTTTATAGTAGAGACACTACATACTGATATACACCTGAACATCAGCAGGAGGACTCTTTAAAGTAGAGACACTACATACTGATATACACCTGAACATCAGCAGGAGAGGACTCTTTAAAGTAGAGACACTACATACTGATATACACCTGAACATCAGCAGGAGAGGACTCTTTAAAGTAGAGACACTACATACTGATATACACCTGAACATCAGCAGGAGAGGACTCTTTAAAGTAGAGACATACACTACATACTGATATACAACTGAACATCAGCAGGAGAAGACTCTTTAAAGTAGAGACACTACATACTGATATACACCTGAACATCAGCAGGAGAGGACTCTTTAAAGTAGAGACACTACATACTGATATACACCTGAACATCAGCAGGAGAGAAGTCTTTAAAGTAGAGACACTACATACTGATATACACCTGCACATCAGCAGGAGAGGACTCTTTAAAGTAGAGACACTACATACTGATATCCACCTGAACATCAGCAGGTGAGGACTCTTTAAAGTAGAGACACTACATACTGATATATACCTGAACATCAGCAGGAGAGGACTCTTTAAAGTAGAGACACTACATACTGATATACACCTGAACATCAGGCAGGAGAGGACTCTTTAAAGTAGAGACACTACATACTGATATACACCTGAACATCAGCAGGAGAGAACTCTTTATAGTAGAGACACTACATACTGATATACACCTGAACATCAGCAGGAGAGGACTCTTTAAAGTAGAGACACTACATACTGATATACACCTGCACATCAGCAGGAGAGGACTCTTTAAAGTAGAGACACTACATACTGATTTACACCTGAACATCAGCAGGAGAGGACTCTTTAAAGTAGAGACACTACATACTGATATACACCTGAACATCAGCAGGAGAGGACTCTTTAAAGTAGAGACACTACATACTGATATACACCTGAACATCAGCAGGAGAGGACTCTTTAAAGTAGAGACACTACATACTGATATACACCTGAACATCAGCAGGAAAGGACTCTTTAAAGTAGAGACACTACATACTGATATACACCTGAAAATCAGCAGGAGAGGACTCTTTAAAGTAGAGACACTACATATTGATATACACCTGAACATCAGCAGGAGAGGACTCTTTAAAGTAGAGACACCTGAACATCAGCAGGAGAGGACTCTTTAAAGTAGAGACACTACATACTGATATACACCTGAACATCAGCAGGAAAGGACTCTTTAAAGTAGAGACACTACATACTGATATACACCTGAACATCAGCAGGAGAGGACTCTTTAAAGTAGAGACACTACATACTGAAATGAAGCTGGAAATGAGCAAAATAGGACCCAATTAAAGAGTGTGACAAAAATAAAGTTGACATGATTTGTTCGTGTGGTGTGTTTGATAGTGTACGAGAACAAAATGAAAATGAAAAGACAAGATGAGTTTAACGTTAAAGCTCATCAGAGATATTTTTATTTGACAAAGGAATCACGTTTTTAATCAAAGCTATATGTCAATTTCTGTGTATTTAGTTAGTACTAGTTGAGGAATTAAAGACACGATGGAAGATATGATGGAAGCTAGTTTAGCTTCGACCACGAATTTCCCCTTCGACATCTGGCCTCCATTTGCATACGAGCGACATTTTCAGCATGACAAAACGATCATCTGTGTTAAAGGACATTACGACAGCTTTCAGGCAGGGAGACACAAATATGTTATACTTTATTCAAGGTTTTTGTTGCCCTCTTAATATTGACAAAGACCAGGCTATGAATGGAAACACCCACGGCCTTTCTGATGCATTCAGGGTTTCATTCAATGCCTGTTTTTCTACTTTTACTCCCACCTTGTTCCCTTCTTTCTGTCAGCTACAAGGTTTGTCTTTTAAATGGCTTTAACGCAGTCGAGTAACAGCATGCAAACAAGCAAAAATAATAAGATTTGGATGAAGGAATAATAAAAAATCCATCCATCTTCTCCCGCTTATCCGTGGTCGGGTCTCGGGGTAACAGTTCCAGCAGAGAGCCCCAAACTTTCCTTTCCCCACATCAACCAGCTCTGACTGGGGGATCCCAAGGCGCTCCCAGGCCAGCGAAGAGATATAATCCCTCGACCTGGTCCTAGGTCTACCCCTTGGTCTCTTCCCAGCTGGACGTGCCTGGACCACCTCCCTAGGGAGGCGCCCAGGTGGCATCCTTAGGTGCTCGAACCACCTCAACTGGCTCCTTTCGACGCGAAGGAATAATAAAACAATAATGCATCAAATGTAATCTCTGGAATCAGTTCATAAAAATCACATCAAACCATAATAGTAAAGATTAACGGTTGGATATAAATTGTTGTGGTAAATCTTGTTATGATCCTTGCGGCAGCTGCCAAATCTGACTTACTTACAAACAGATGGGTGAAAGCATCTGCAAGGGCATAAAAATTGCAATGCAAAGTTATTGTACGATAGCAACAGAATTTTGATGAGATAATTCTTTTAGTGTTCTCATGAGGGTCGTGAAAATCCTCCAGCTGCAGCGTGGCAAATCAATATTTGACACTTCACGGCTTTGACTCTGTCGAGAAAAAAAGTGTGAAAGAGACAGCCTTTGGTAGACAAACGAGTAAACATGTAGGAGGAATAAAGAGCCGTTATATGTTCTGCTACTTCTATGTTTTACTTTTACACCAGTAATGGCTTCAGGTATATAAATCAAGCTGCCATGAATCAAACTTTTCGATCTATATTCTCTCACATAGCTTCATAGTTCACTTCCTTCGTTCTTTCTCAACACACAGGGGGGAACTCACACTGTCTTCAAGCTCTCAGACTTCGTCTTACATCACTAACACTGAGCTGCTGTTGAGACAAAGGTTATTTAATCCTAGACATATTTTTAAAGTGATAGTAATGTGAAATTCAGGTCGGAGTCAATATATTATTCACCACTCCTTAGGTCCAAAAATGATTACCTCAGTTTTTATCTTTGTTTAACCCTCCTATTGCCTTCGTTTTCCCCCCCTTACTTTGGTGTTCGGTCTTGTTTTTTAACTGCTATTACATTAACACAAAAACCATTAATCATCACCACATTTCATTTAACACCCTTTCAAACTGTAAATATTGTATCAGACTACTGGTACACATGAAAAACTGCAGTAAATATACAAAGAACAGACACTGAACATGTATTGTGTGTGCCAGGTGTGATCCATGTAGGGGGATGGGCACATAAGAGCGGGACATGTGTCAAATTGTTCTGTGTGTGTGCCAGGTGTGATCCATGTGGGGGGATGGTCACATAAGGGGGGGGGGGACATCTAGAGTTTGTGTGGGTGTGTGTTTGATCTGATCCCGATGGTTACTAATTCCTTTTCTTTATGGCGGTCAACGGGAACACCATGGGTGTTACAAAGTTGACTAAATCATCGAAAATTCAACGAAAGTGGTGATCAGCAATTGTATATGTTCAAATGTCTACTGTGAAGGATATCATGAAGCCTTAATGCAATCGAATCTAAAACAAAAAAGTTATGATTGATGAAAGTAGTAAATCGGTCAGATTTGACCCGAAGACAACAGGAGGGTTAATTGAATAAAGTTCTGACACATCCAATCATTCATTTGTTACTCAATGAGCAGTTGGAGAAGTGGTTATGTACATTCATCGTCTGCATAGCTATGGTCATTTATTTTGTTGTTTTCCATTATCTGAGCAAGTGGAAGCATGTAGATGTTAAAGAGAAGAGGCCCCAGGATTGAGCCTTGAGGAACTCCGCATGACTTTGTCAACTTTGACGTAATGCTACCTTTCTTACGTTTTTCCTGTCCTAGAAGTAGGATTCAAACCAATTAAGAACTGTGCCAAATGGAGCCCTTTTTAAAGCGGATTTTTGAGTTGATTTGCACATTAAGATGACAAACCAATTTGACGATTGACAGAATAATAAGGACTCACTGTTTTGATAACGGATTATTCGTAAAGTGATTTCTCATGAAGAAATAGTGAATATTTGTAGGTTCTTGACAAACAAGACATTTAAGGACATTGCCTTGGACTTGGACCAACTGTAGAGTGATCAATTATATAATTATTGTTTGCAGAAAAGGAACAATTACAACAAAAAATGCCTTTCTCCACAAGCAAAGCTGCTCTAACGGCCCGTCCACACAGCGGCGTGCGTTGAAGCTTTCCGGCGGGCGTGTCTGAAACTCGACCAACAACCAATCACATGCATCTCCCGCCCCTGACACACAAGCAGCGGTTTGATTGGCTAGAGCTTGTACTGGCATATGATTCGATTGGCTGACGCTTCAAACGTTGAACATTGCTCAACTTTTGCAGCGAGCCACGCCAGCAAAGCTCCGCGTCGCTTCCCACAATGCAGTTCGACGTCACCCCATTCAAAGTGAATGGTGAAGCTTTCAACGCATGCCGCTGTGTGGATGGGCCGTAAAGGCAGGTCAAGTTAAATCTCAGGTGGATGCAGACAACACACGGAAGAAAAAATAATTGTTTCTTGCCAATACATTTTGTCATGTAGACTTTTTATAGTCCTTAAATTGATGTATCCTCACACCCTCTGTTTCAGATTACCGGGCCCCTCCAGAGTTCCTGCTGCAGGCAGCGGGGCCTCCAGGAGTTCGGGGTCCTCCAACCTCAACCGTCGCAGCCAGAGCTTCAACAGCATCGACAAGAGTAAACCTCTGCAGTATGCCAGCGGAAACGACAGAGGTGAGGACGCCATATCTGTGATCTCTGTACCATGATGTGAAAGATAGATGGATAGATTCGTTTATTGTCACTACACAGAGTACGGCGAAATTCCAAGCACTCCCGATGGTGCAATCACACATAACAGACAGTATAAGCATCATTTTGACAATACAAGCTAAAAACGTTTAATATATAATATATAAAGTGACTATAAATTAGACCTATGATACATTGAACAGTATGCTTACAAAACATTACCATACAAATACAAGAACAACACGGTCAAGGCAGTTAAAGTAAGTTATTGCACATGTATTTATCAGTGCAATTGATCATTACAAAACTACAAAGGTCATTCAAGAGGCTATATTGTCATGTGCATAGTAGCTACAGTGTAGATATGGCAATGAAAAACATAACCTGAATATATATAGGACATGAAACCAATAAAACGAATAAAATAGTGCAAGAGAATGTTTTGAAGTTTTTGCAAGTAAATACAAAAAAAGGTGGAAGAAGTATGCAGATCCTTCACTAAAGTAAAATACCAGTTAAAGCAAAAGTCTAAGTCCTGTTTTAAAATGTTACTTCAGTAAAGTATAAACTGTTGGCTGGTTTAATTTGTAACAAAACATCGTATTTTTTATGTTAACATCTTCATTTTTAAGATGAATGTAGTGGAGTAATAAGTATAATATTTCCCTTTGTAGTGGAGAAGGGCACACTTTTTAATGTATATCATATTTATATTTTATTTAAAGCTCTTTTTAATAATAATAGATTTATTTTGTTAGCGCTTTTACAGGTGCTCAAAGACGCTTTACAGATATAGTGAAAAGAAAAGAAATGAACAACAAATAAATATATAGTTAAAGTTAAAGTCAAATAATACAAAAACAATCACACATTAAAAGCCAGATTGAAGAGGTGAGTTTTAGGAGTAGATTATTCTCTTATAGTGTTTTCTAAATCATGCACACACTATGTTCATTTTTTAAAATCGTATTTATATTGGGTGCCTCAAATATTCAATTAAGTAAATGCACTTTATTACATTCTTCCTCTGCATGATACAACACACACTTTAACATTCCCTGAAGCTCGGATGGTGTGTAGGTGTTGATGGTGACCACTTGGTGGCAGCGCTGACTCAGACAGACTCTCTCTCTCCACTCAGATGTTTCCTCTGACAGAGATATAACGGATTATATTGAAACATTAGAAATGACCAGAGGGGGAAATCCATGCAGCTGCTGGCTCTGGCATGATGCAGCTAATCAGAGTCATTACGCTTTATGAGAGGAGTTAGGGCGTAAGGCTGTTTATTTAACACCTAATCGACTATTCACAACAAATAGTTAATCAACAGCCTTTTGCTATCTGCTCACATGGCATTAATCACAGGTACGAGAATGGCCAATTTCGTCCCTACTCATTTTTAAAAGTACAAGAGAACATCTCCAAAACGGCTGCTATTTAGAATATGTGACACATTTAATAATAGGTGGGCTACTCTAAAAATAAGATGTACTTTATTAATCCCAATTTTGAAATTTGTTTTGTTGCAGTAAAACAAAACAAGTCATTGCACATAACCACAAATTAAAAGAGTAGAAATAAACAATTCTAAAATAGAAACATCTCAAAATAGACATAGAAATATATAATGCACTTTTCTTTTAAAGTGTGTAGCTAGATCAGGGGTGTCAAACTCAATTTCATCGCGGGCCACATCAGCATTATGGCCGGTTGTAACTTTAAGACTATATAAAAATAAATATATCATATATATAAAATAATGTATATTACATTATATTCCTCATCGGATAGGGTAATAACTTCATAATTAACTACGTCTGAAAGCAGAAGTCTAGGGCAAATAATTGCAAGTCTCTTCAGTGAGAATGTCACAAAAATGATTTTTAAAAAAAAGCCACATTCTGGAAAAAAAGTCAAAATAAAAAAAATTAATTGATTTTTTTTTTTTAAATGAAGTAAAATTTGGAGAAAAAAAGTAACATTTGAAAAAAAAAAGTTACATTTACAAAAACGATTCTAAGGAAAAAGGCATATTTAGAAGAAAAAAAGTCAAATTCTGAGAAAAAAGTCAAATCTGAGATGCATTGTGGGATATGTAGTGTATGGGCAACGTGCTTCTGTAAATCGGCATGTACAGTAAACGTATTATTCTTTGCAAGCTCTTGTGGGGCCACATAAAATGAAGTCACAGGCCGGATTTGGCCCCCGGGCCTTGAGTTTGACACCCCTGAGCTAGATACTCATATACACATACTGTATATACTACTGGCAAAAAGCATAAAAGTGCCCCATTCAAAGCATGTTTCCAGCCCGTGGAGCTGAGGGAGGATCAGTAGGACGTGATGGAGGTGAAGAAGAGATGCATTTAGACGTTGGAGTAAAAACCAAATCCACAATTGTACTCAAAACGTCCACTTGCTTTTAGATTTCTGTCTGAATTATCGTACTTTTAACCGACAGAAAAGGGACAAAACAACGAACAAATAAATCGTCAGGCAGCTTTTCCTTTTCCCTCGCTTTAAATCCTACAATTTGACTCACTTACGTTTTGATTGAGACAGAAATGGCAGTCGAAGAATTGTGATAAATGCTATGGAGAAACTGAATGTAATAGTCCTGTGCTTAAGTGTTAAAATGTGTTTATTGTTCAGTAACCGCATCATAAATGTTTCAGTCGATCAGTTTCTTTTCAAGGTTTTTTTTGGGTGTATTCGTCCTCCTCACACTGCCTGCAGCAGACCGAGCTTCACTTGGCAGAGATAAGACTCGCTGCAGGGGAGATGAAACTGCGTTTTGGTCCAAAGTAAAGGAAAATAAAAATCAATTGTGGGTAAATGTCAGCAATGCAGACAAAACCTTGTGGGCAGAAACAGAAACCGAGAGCAGGTGAGAGTGAAACAGAGACACACGATGTTCCCCCCCATCTTTCTCATGTTTTTAATCTTTTATTCCATCATTTTGATCACAACTAATCCATTTTTTTTATTAAAACAAAGTCAATGTTGTGCTTTGAAGAGGATAAAAGGAAGTGGCTTGACAGAATAACTTTTCATTTATTTGTTATATGTTTCTGGTGCTTCTGTCTTGATTAATAACCTCACAAAAAAACGTCATTTAAATTTAGAAAATGGTACCATTAACCGTAAAACAACGCTAAAGCAGCATATGGATTAGGGCGGGGCTAGTTTATGATTGACAGGTGGCTATCACAGTGAGAGTTAATGCTGTGTTTCAATGCAGATGTTATGAATTAAACAGGAACAGATGTAGTTGTGTTACACTCAGCAAAGAGGTCTTTATTTGTGAAGTAAACACATTAGAGTTACTTTGTTTCAGGATTAAAGCTCTCACCAAGTACATAAGCTGTCTTGTTGCCATGCCTACGATTATCAGATATTAATTGAAGCACCAAAAAGGGCACGTTTGTTAAATTGGACCAAAGGACGTTGGTGATAGCTCTCCTCGTTGAAAGGAATGAGGATGAGGAGGCAAACTCGGTGAAAGCTGAACAAAAATGTGCCATATTTATATTAATGTTCTATAATAACGTGTAATCAGGTATCTGCCACTACGTTCTTTGGCCCTAATCAATCATTCTTGTCACTGTACAGTTTTTATATTAATGTTTAGCCCCAAGGACCCCCTCGGCGGGTCCTTTTTTCTTTTTCTCACGACAGTGTCTCAGGGCATCTTAATATTTAAGAACCTATTAATGTGTTATACCAGATTAACGGAAATAATCTCAGCTAACTGACGATATAATCCATTTTTACCAAAACAAAACACAAGTCTCATAAGAAGCATCTAAATGACCCCTGAGCGAAAAATGCTAACGCACTTTGGCACAGAACTCAAGATAAAAGTACCCTTATTACTTATCGTAACTGCACTTACAAGATATCCGATTAAAGCTGAGGTTCCACAGATTATTTAGGTATATAGTATCATCACTGAGTGATCTGAACTCGGACAGGGGAAGCAAACACAGACATCACAACACGTACCTTTACGGAGCTTCTAGGGAGATCGTCTCACCGTAGCTGTCAATCTGATCAAAATACGTGTTCAATGGCATTAAAACGAGAAAAAACGCGGCTGAATCGGTTAATCCATAGGTTTCTAACGTCTCTGTATAAAAAAATGATTTCATTTATAATCCATAATTCCATTTGTATGTAAAAATCGGAGAGTAAAAGATAGCTGCTAATGGTAGCCACCAGAGTTATCGCAGCTTCCGGTCTTGGCTATGCGGCAGTCTCACACACACACATTACCAAATAAGGAGTATGTGGGAGTTCCCCTCGATTCCATTGGCTCTGACGGTTAGAAAGAGATGTCAATCAGCAAAATCGAGCAAGGGGGGCCAGAGATAGGTCAAATCCACCCAAATGACCCCAGAAGTGTTTTTTTGCTAAATCTCTCTAAAAAGGTAAAATGTCACTTTTTTTGCATCAATCTTGATACAGGGTACTTATTATATGTTTTAGTTTGGATTCCTAAAGCTTTCAGTCTACCATCCCATCATTCAAGGGTGGTTTTCACTACAAGTAATCTTTTTATTTTGGACGGACACAATCATTTACATTTTTTTACTGTGTTCAATCTGAATTTACTTTAAAATAAAAACATCTATATTGATTCTGACACTTCTACATCCAACTCACAGGTTTATCATAACTTTGAGAAAAAAGATTATTAATGTAACCCTTTTAGAAGGAAAGATATGGTCATTTGTTCTGGGAATGTCATTTTTGAGCCTCAGACCTGAAAAACAGGCTCGGGGTTTAACAGGTTAATTCTTTGACCGTCTATATTTTTTGTAGTTATTTAATTAGCTATTTTTACTGCACTGTTACTGTACAGTTGTATTATTATGCTGCTGTGTTTATTGTATCGTTGTAACGTTGGCACAAACATTTCCTTTGGGATAAATAAAGACCTATCTTATCTTATCTTATCGTCAATACACACACACACACACACACACACACACACACACACACACACACACACACGTCACACACACATACTGTTTATGTGGCTGCTTAATTCAGATAAGGTTAAATAAGAAGGGTCTTTATGATAATGTACACGATGTACAGGATATTAGAAGTGACCCAACAACCCATTTTTTTTTTTAAATGTGAGTGTTATTAACAATAACTGTATATCATTAACTAATTATCAAAGCACATAAACATATAGTCATACTATCTGTAGTTGCACACAGCGAGTGTCACAAAGGGTCCACCAACGCCCAGGAGAAACTGCATGTCATCCTTGGCCGTTGAGGCGAGAAAATAAAAAAAGAGAAGAAGAAGAAGAAGAGGAGTCTGTTACCATGGCAACAGCATGTGGTGAAAAGTGTGTTATGCACTGCAAAAAAAATAAAAAAGCCTCTGGGGCTGGGCAAGGAGGAGCAGGCAGGATCTCTAAAGATGGGGTTAATTGAGTGGACACACACAGACACACACACACACACACACACACACACACACACACACACACACACACACACACAGAAACACACACATGTTTTGAAACGTCTTTGATTCACATTGATAACCTGCCCTGAGGGAAGACGGGGTAAAAGAGAGGACAAACACATGAACTCAAAGGAAAAGATCCTCCCCATGTCTTAATCACTTTCAGATGGACACACACACACACACACACACACACACACACACACACACCCACACACACACACACACACACACACACACACACACACACACACACACACACACAACTGATTGATGACTTGCAGTATTCATGACTCATCTGAGTTTCCCAACCTGTGAACTCCTTCCAGTAAATCAGTGTCCGTTCATTTGAATCTGCAGACACAAATACTCCTCATACAGGCTGGAGGAGATTATACCATTTAACTGATGGATACTATTCTCACATGCACTCTTACTCTTTTTTGAATGCTTGAATATATCAAATATTTGCATGCATAGACACACATACACAAAGACTGTAGATCTCCGCCATGGATGTCAGTGTTTGAGACGAAACGTTTGGCAGGCAACTGACAAGGTAAGGTTTGGTTTAAGCCAAGCCAGACATGAGCGTACTGTCATAAATAAACAAAAACAATGTCAGTTTGATGGGTCCAGTATTTATCAGGGATTACCTGAGGATGGACAGACACGTGGGCATGGACGAAAGTAGAAGAAATCTCAGGAGAAGGGATGTCATTCCCGGCATGAACAGGCGTATAACAGATTCAGTCCTGAAATTGTCAGCAAGATGTTCATTAATGCCCAAAAGCATCAGGTACCAGTGGTTTCAAAGAAATTGTAGTGAATAGTCTCCCATGCAGAGTCCTCCCTATAAGAGTTGCCCACAGTTGTACCCTCTTCCTAATAACCATGGAATCGTAGTTTTGAATCACCTGTTCCTCTCTTCTCTCCTGCTCCAGAGGCGTTGAGGGGGATCCCGTTGCCGGGCGGGATGAACGGGAGCTGTTCTGGCGGCGGCTCGGTTCCCAGTAGCCTCAGCGGTCAGCAGCTGATCTCCTCCTCCATCCCCTCGCCAACCAAATCCTGGAGAAGCAAATCCATGAATCTGAAGCACAGCGCCACCTCCTCCATGCTCTCCAGCCCCACGCTCTCCCCCTCTGAGGCCCCTGAAGCCCTCCACGATGGGTCAAAAGCAGCCGGTGGTGGTGGGCATCATCAGAGGTCAATGTTGGAGAAGTTTCGCTTGATTAACCCCAGATCAGCGTCTCGAGCGTCTCCATCTGTGGCGGAAATGTCTCTTGAGGAGGAGGACGATTTGTCGGAGTACGGTGAGGACGGATTTACGAATTTGGCGTACAGCAGTGGAAGTAGTTCTACAGCAAATCAGATATCAACAAAAACCCCATCTCCATCCATCACTGCACTAAGCAAAACGTCCCCTTCTTCTTCCTCCTCCTCCTCTAAAGCCAATAATAGCGGCAGGACAGGAGCATCGTCCAAAGACAGGGAGGACAAAAGCAGCAGCAGATCTGGACAGAAATCTTCTAAGGACAGTTCTTCGCCCAAAGAAGAGTCGTCGCCCACTGACGGAAACAAGAAGAACTCCAAAATCGCCAGTCTCATCCCCAAGGGAGGGAAGCCGTCAAAGAAAGATGGCGGCAACTCTTCAAGCGGCATCCCCAAGTCAGGACTTAAAGCTCCTTCCTCCTCTTCCTCTTCCTCCACCTCAACGACGGCCAAGCCTCAGAGTCAAATGCAGAGTCAGAGTCCGGCGTTAAACAGCAGTGGGAACCTGAGAGGAGGAGAGGCCGACAGAGGAAAGATGACTAAAGGAGGGCAGGGTGGGAGTTTCTATATCCAGCGATCCAGCGGGGGCTCAGAGACAAAAAGAACCAGTTTGACTTCCTCCACCAGTACCTCTGCACTTTCTGGTTCCACTGGGATGCTGGGAGGAGGAGGAGGAGTTGGAGGGGGAGCGCTTGGAGGGAACGGAGTAGTTCAACTTCCTCAACAACAGCAGCACAACCATCCAAACACTGCCACTGTGGCCCCCTTCATGTACAGGTGAGTGTGTGTGAGTGTGTGGAACAGTTACTTAAAGAGTCCTCTCCTGCTGATGTTCAGGTGTATATCAGTATGTAGTGTCTCTACTTTAAAGAGTCCTCTCCTGCTGATGTTCAGGTGTATATCAGTATGTAGTATCTCTACTTTAAAGAGTCCTCTCCTGCTGATGTTCAGGTGTATATCAGTATGTAGTGTCTCTACTTTAAAGAGTCCTCTCCTGCTGATGTTCAGGTGTATATCAGTATGTAGTGTCTCTACTTTAAAGAGTCCTCTCCTGCTGATGTTCAGGTGTATATCAGTATGTAGAGTCTCTACTTTAAAGAGTCCTCTCCTGCTGATGTTCAGGTGTATATCAGTATGTAGTGTCTCTTCTTTAAAGAGTCCTCTCCTGCTGGTGTTCAGGTGTATATCAGTATGTAGTGTCTCTTCTTTAAAGAGTCCTCTCCTGCTGATGTTCAGGTGTATATCAGTATGTAGTGTCTCTACTTTAAAGAGTCCTCTCCTGCTGATGTTCAGGTGTGTATCAGTATGTAGTGTCTCTACTTTAAAGAGTCATCTCCTGCTGATGTTCAGGTGTATATCAGTATGTAGTGTCTCTACTTTAAAGAGTCCTCTCCTGCTGATGTTCAGGTGTATATCAGTATGTAGTGTCTCTACTTTAAAGAGTCCTCTCCTGCTGATGTTCAGGTGTATATCAGTATGTAGTGTCTCTACTTTAAAGAGTCCTCTCCTGCTGATGTTCAGGTGTATATCAGTATGTAGTGTCTCTACTTTAAAGAGTCCTCTCCTGCTGATGTTCAGGTGTATATCAGTATGTAGTGTCTCTACTTTAAAGAGTCCTCTCCTGCTGATGTTCAGGTGTATATCAGTATGTAGTGTCTCTACTTTAAAGAGTCCTCTCCTGCTGATGTTCAGGTGTATATCAGTATGTAGTGTCTCTACTTTAAAGAGTCCTCTCCTGCTGATGTTAAGGTGTATATCAGTATGTAGTGTGTCTACTTTAAAGAGTCCTCTCCTGCTGACGTTCAGGTGTATATCAGTATGTAGTGTGTCTACTTTAAAGAGTCCTCTCCTGCTGATGTTCAGGTGTATATCAGTATGTAGTGTCTCTACTTTAAAGAGTCCTCTCCTGCTGATGTTCAGGTGTATATCAGTATGTAGTGTCTCTACTTTAAAGAGTCCTCTCCTGCTGATGTTCAGGTGTATATCAGTATGTAGTGTCTCTACTTTAAAGAGTCCTCTCCTGCTGATGTTCAGGTGTATATCAGTATGTAGAGTCTCTACTTTAAAGAGTCCTCTCCTGCTGATGTTCAGGTGTATATCAGTATGTAGTGTCTCTTCTTTAAAGAGTCCTCTCCTGCTGGTGTTCAGGTGTATATCAGTATGTAGTGTCTCTTCTTTAAAGAGTCCTCTCCTGCTGATGTTCAGGTGTATATCAGTATGTAGTGTCTCTACTTTAAAGAGTCCTCTCCTGCTGATGTTCAGGTGTATATCAGTATGTAATGTCTCTACTTTAAAGAGTCCTCTCCTGCTGATGTTCAGGTGTGTATCAGTATGTAGTGTCTCTACTTTAAAGAGTCATCTCCTGCTGATGTTCAGGTGTATATCAGTATGTAGTGTCTCTACTTTAAAGAGTCCTCTCCTGCTGATGTTCAGGTGTGTATCAGTATGTAGTGTCTCTACTTTAAAGAGTCCTCTCCTGCTGATGTTCAGGTGTATATCAGTATGTAGTGTCTCTACTTTAAAGAGTCCTCTCCTGCTGATGTTCAGGTGTATATCAGTATGTAGTGTCTCTACTTTAAAGAGTCCTCTCCTGCTGATGTGCAGGTGTATATCAGTATGTAGTGTCTCTACTTTAAAGAGTCCTCTCCTGCTGATGTTCAGGTGTATATCAGTATGTAGTGTCTCTACTTTAAAGAGTCCTCTCCTGCTGATGTTCAGGTGTATATCAGTATGTAGTGTCTCTACTTTAAAGAGTCCTCTCCTGCTGATGTTCAGGTGTATATCAGTATGTAGTGTCTCTACTTTAAAGAGTCCTCTCCTGCTGATGTTCAGGTGTATATCAGTATGTAGTGTCTCTACTTTAAAGAGTCCTCTCCTGCTGATGTTCAGGTGTATATCAGTATGTAGTGTCTCTACTTTAAAGAGTCCTCTCCTGCTGATGTTAAGGTGTATATCAGTATGTAGTGTGTCTACTTTAAAGAGTCCTCTCCTGCTGACGTTCAGGTGTATATCAGTATGTAGTGTGTCTACTTTAAAGAGTCCTCTCCTGCTGATGTTCAGGTGTATATCAGTATGTAGTGTCTCTACTTTAAAGAGTCCTCTCCTGCTGATGTTCAGGTGTATATCAGTATGTAGTGTCTCTACTTTAAAGAGTCCTCTCCTGCTGATGTTCAGGTGTATATCAGTATGTAGTGTCTCTACTTTAAAGAGTCCTCTCCAGCTGATGTTCAGGTGTATATCAGTATGTAGTGTCTCTACTTTAAAGAGTCCTCTCCTGCTGATGTTCAGGTGTATATCAGTATGTAGTGTGTCTACTTTAAAGAGTCCTCTCCTACTGACGTTCAGGTGTATATCAGTATGTAGTGTCTCTACTTTAAAGAGTCCTCTCCTGCTGATGTTCAGGTGTATATCAGTATGTAGAGTCTCTACTTTAAAGAGTCCTCTCCTGCTGATGTTCAGGTGTATATCAGTATGTAGTGTCTCTTCTTTAAAGAGTCCTCTCCTGCTGGTGTTCAGGTGTATATCAGTATGTAGTGTCTCTTCTTTAAAGAGTCCTCTCCTGCTGATGTTCAGGTGTATATCAGTATGTAGTGTCTCTACTTTAAAGAGTCCTCTCCTGCTGATGTTCAGGTGTATATCAGTATGTAATGTCTCTACTTTAAAGAGTCCTCTCCTGCTGATGTTCAGGTGTGTATCAGTATGTAGTGTCTCTACTTTAAAGAGTCATCTCCTGCTGATGTTCAGGTGTATATCAGTATGTAGTGTCTCTACTTTAAAGAGTCCTCTCCTGCTGATGTTCAGGTGTGTATCAGTATGTAGTGTCTCTACTTTAAAGAGTCCTCTCCTGCTGATGTTCAGGTGTATATCAGTATGTAGTGTCTCTACTTTAAAGAGTCCTCTCCTGCTGATGTTCAGGTGTATATCAGTATGTAGTGTCTCTACTTTAAAGAGTCCTCTCCTGCTGATGTGCAGGTGTATATCAGTATGTAGTGTCTCTACTTTAAAGAGTCCTCTCCTGCTGATGTTCAGGTGTATATCAGTATGTAGTGTCTCTACTTTAAAGAGTCCTCTCCTGCTGATGTTCAGGTGTATATCAGTATGTAGTGTCTCTACTTTAAAGAGTCCTCTCCTGCTGATGTTCAGGTGTATATCAGTATGTAGTGTCTCTACTTTAAAGAGTCCTCTCCTGCTGATGTTCAGGTGTATATCAGTATGTAGTGTCTCTACTTTAAAGAGTCCTCTCCTGCTGATGTTCAGGTGTATATCAGTATGTAGTGTCTCTACTTTAAAGAGTCCTCTCCTGCTGATGTTAAGGTGTATATCAGTATGTAGTGTGTCTACTTTAAAGAGTCCTCTCCTGCTGACGTTCAGGTGTATATCAGTATGTAGTGTGTCTACTTTAAAGAGTCCTCTCCTGCTGATGTTCAGGTGTATATCAGTATGTAGTGTCTCTACTTTAAAGAGTCCTCTCCTGCTGATGTTCAGGTGTATATCAGTATGTAGTGTCTCTACTTTAAAGAGTCCTCTCCTGCTGATGTTCAGGTGTATATCAGTATGTAGTGTCTCTACTTTAAAGAGTCCTCTCCAGCTGATGTTCAGGTGTATATCAGTATGTAGTGTCTCTACTTTAAAGAGTCCTCTCCTGCTGATGTTCAGGTGTATATCAGTATGTAGTGTGTCTACTTTAAAGAGTCCTCTCCTACTGACGTTCAGGTGTATATCAGTATGTAGTGTGTCTACTTTAAAGAGTCCTCTCCTGCTGATGTTCAGGTGTATATCAGTATGTAGTGTCTCTACTTTAAAGAGTCCTCTCCTGCTGATGTTGAGGTGTATATCAGTATGTAGTGTCTCTACTTTAAAGAGTCCTCTCCTGCTGATGTTCAGGTGTATATCAGTATGTAGTGTCTCTACTTTAAAGAGTCCTCTCCTGCTGATGTTCAGGTGTATATCAGTATGTCGTGTCTCTACTTTAAAGAGTCCTCTCCTGCTGATGTTCAGGTGTATATCAGTATGTCGTGTCTCTACTTTAAAGAGTCCTCTCCTGCTGATGTTCAGGTGTATATCAGTATGTAGTGTCTCTACTTTAAAGAGTCCTCTCCTGCTGATGTTCAGGTGTATATCAGTATGTAGTGTCTCTAGTTTAAAGAGTCCTCTCCTGCTGATGTTCAGGTGTATATCAGTATGTAGTGTCTCCACTTTAAAGAGTCCTCTCCTGCTGATGTTCAGGTGTATATCAGTATGTAGTGTCTCTAGTTTAAAGAGTCCTCTCCTGCTGATGTTCAGGTGTATATCATAATGTGTCACTCCTAAATGAAAGGAATCAAATCGGTTTCATAGTAAAGCAAAAAAGAACGTTTTGCGCCACAATTGCTTGTATTGTTCTGGTTGTTTATTTCCATCTGTCCGACACACATCGTTTTCTCGTCCTACCTGCACATCAACACATAAGGAATATTCCTGGCTCTCTCTCTCTCTATGATCAGCTGCTGCTTTGTGTTCATGTTGCTCTCGCCTCCGCATCTCTTTCACAGTCATTACAGAACAAACACCCGCTGCCTGACAAGTGCCACGGCCTATTATTCAACTGTCTGGGTTTCATCTTTAAAGTAAGAAATCAGACTTTGGCACCAACCCTTCTCTGCATTCAACCGGTGTGACAGTATGTCGCATGTGACTCCCTGGTGTTACAGCCATCAGGAAGTGAGGTGAATCTGCCCAGAAGGGACGATGTTCTCTTAAAACATTAGAGGTAATCCAGGGGAACAGAAGAGAAGCCTCCAAAGTCTCTGCGTTCAAGAGAAAGAGATTTAAAAATCCTATTAAATGTTAATCCTTCACGCCGTTGCTCCTCTCCGTCTCTGTTGTGCACCGTCAGCTCTGCCACACTGAGCGTTACTTTAATCCCACACATTCAGCCAGTTAAAACTGCCGCGTCCATTAATCCAGGGTTGATAGTGACTGATAGTGGCAAACCTCAAACTAAAAGCACACGCGGCTCACATAATCACAAATAACTGTTGAAGTGAAGCGATATTTGAGTTGAAATGAGTGTCCTCTGTGCCGAGAAATCTCCTTGTGAGAGCATTTCTTAAGATCTTTGTCCTCTTCTTATGTTGCAATACAGCCGCCCCCCTCAGCGTGCAGACAGTCAACGTGCAGGCCTCTCTCGTTCTACAATTTACCATCACTTTCAGCCTAATTAAGCTTTTTTCTCTCGTTTGCTTTCTCTTGTATTCCCCCCTGAAGTTGTGGCCTCTGCCAGATTTATTGTGTGTTGGTTGATAGCACTGTGCTGCAGTCAGTGTGCAGGATTTATGATGCTCACACACACACACACAAGATTTTGAAATGAGTCCTGGGAGCATAGCATATGTTAAAGAAACAGTTCATTTGTTTACATGACATGTCACTTTTATCCAAAGCGACTCACACACTCAATACTGTGGGCAATCCCCACAGGAGCACTTTGGGGGGAAGTGTCTCAGGGACACAACGACATGCTGAGTGCAGTGGGGTTTGAACCTGTGACCCCCTGATCCGAACACCAACACACTAATCCACTACGCAACACGCCTCCCATTATAAATACAAAATGTATATAGTACGTACTTTAAAAGAGGTTTTCGAAGCAGCGACATCGAGGAGAAATAGAGCTCAAAACAAATAATGGACTTCAACTGAGGCCAATAATTGACAGTTAAGATAATGGAATAAATAAACGTTTATATTTATACACATTTTCTAGTAAAATAATATCAAATTCCTTCACGAGGATCATCCAAAAAAACATTGTTAGACAATATTATACATAATACACACAAATACATACAAATCCGTTGTCAAATCCTGCAGGAAATTATTATTTGACATGTATTTGAACCTGCTTGGCTCCCTTTATGGGTAAAATATTCCTTTTAATCGCTTTTTAAACAGGTTTCTTTAGCTAAATGACATTTCCTTGCATTGTTTTTAAAGCGAAAGAGTGAATAAGACACGGAGCAGCTCTTCCAGGAAACACTCCCTTCATGGCTCCTTAGAAATGACTGTAGTTGAGTTTAGCAGACACCTCCGCCTGCCTTTCTAACTGCTGTGTTGTTGTTTTTGTTCTCGATTCCTTGCAGGACTTTCTCAGAGAACGACTGCACCATGATGGCCCCCGCAGAGCCCTGCCTCAGCCCCACCAAGGGGGAGCTGGTCTACAGCAAGACCGCCAAACAGTGCCTGGAGGAGATCTCAGGTACAACAGCTCAACAATGCATGTATGATGAGTCTGTGTGGGTTATTCAGAGAGATGGCAAAAGTACACACATCCTTTACTCAAGTAGAAGTACAGATACTCGTGTTTAAAAGTACTCTGGTGAAAGTAGAAGTACTGACTAAAGTTCTTTACTCAAGTCAAAGTAAAGAGGCTTTGAAATGTACTTCAGTAAAAAGTACCCATAACTAGCAGCTGTTTTAAAGAGTACCTGACCTCCCTTTATATTAATAGAACAATAATGTCATTGTTAGCTAATGAATGTTTCCATGCTGAACAACGGCAACATGACAACGTTTCCATTGGTCCCTCTTCTTTAGAGAAGACCAGGAAATGATGGATACACGGATCGTGTTCAAATCAATAGGCACGCAATGACTCTAAAGAATAATGATCACGCATCAAACACACATTCAGACTAAAGGAACCAGCTGTTTGGAAAATGAGAGAAGTAGAAAGTACAAGTATTTGAGTTCAACATGTGAGAAGTAGAAAGTACAGGTATTTGAGTTCAACATGAGAGAAGTAGAAAGTACAGGTATTTGGGTTCAACATGTAAGAAGTAGAAAGTACAGGTATTTGAGTTCAACATGTGAGAAGTAGAAAGTACAGGTATTTGTGTTCAACATGTAAGAAGTAGAAAGTACAGGTATTTGAGTTCAACATGTAAGAAGTAGAAAGTACAGGTATTTGTGTTCAACATGTAAGAAGTAGAAAGTATAAGTATTTGGGTTCAACATGTAAGAAGTAGAAAGTACAGGTATTTGGGTTCAACATGTAAGAAGTAGAAAGTACAAGTATTTGGGTTCAACATGTAAGAAGTAGAAAGTACAGGTATTTGGGTTCAACATGTAAGAAGTAGAAAGTACAGGTATTTGAGTTCAACATGTAAGAAGTCAAAGTCAAAAGTCGTCAGAAATATAAGTAGTGGAGTAAAGTACTGATACCAGAAACATGTACTTAAGTACAGTAATGAAGTATTTGTACTCCACTACTTCCCACCTCTGCCTCTGTCTGTTGAAATATTGCTCCCATAGGGATCTATTCAGCTTTTTGGCACTGCTTCTAATTGAACTATTCATATCTCACTGACTGCACTGTAACTTTTATGAATGTACCTGTGTTATTCATATTTGATTATCTTTGCTTTTAAATGAGTGTTTTTAAGTGCCATTATATAATATGTTTCTGCGGCACTATCTCTTAATGTCTTTCATTATTGTAAAGCACTTTGAATGGCCTTGTGTTGAAAGGTGCTATACATACACTTGCCTCATACAGCATGTTTAATGTGTGTTAAATGCTGCTTTAGGTGCAAGAGGACGATGCATTTACCCACTTTACGAAACAAGTGGTTTCATTAACAGTGTTGTATTGTATAATTCATTAGCTCTACATTGTCACTACTACAAAGAGCAGTCTTCAGTGTTAAATAGAGAAGAGTAGCTGCAAGATTTGTTTACAGGTTGTGCAGAGAACGATGCTCTGGTGTTTTGTATCTGTTATATTTCTTATTTTTAGACCACTTAGTTGTGTGCAGTGATAGTAGGGGATCTCTCTGTGTGTGAGTGAATCCTCTGAGGTGAGGGGAGCTTGCAGGAAGAAGGCTTTCTGAAGTCATTTGTATCTGCAGGTGGTGTTGGTGGACCCTGGAGTCTGTGTTGTGTACAAAGGAGAACTGTAGAATAGCGTCTGTTTGCAAGCTCTACTGTCTTTTGTGTGATTGTGTGGTTTAAAGGTCTTGTTACGATGGGTGACGCAAGCAGGACCCAAATGCAGATTACACTGACATTGCCTTTATTTCAAGGATAAAATAATAACTTGGACAAAACAGAACACTCACCGGTGAACTCAGTCACAAACAAAAGACGAGCCAACACTGAACACAAGAAGAGACTAAATACAGGGAGGGGTAATCACGAGACGAGACACAGCCGGGCAGGGGAGGAGAAACACAAGGGCAACAGGTGAACACAATCAGACAACTAGACACAGCAGGGAAACTAACGACAGGGGGAAACACAGAGAGAGGGACCAGACAATACACCAAGAGGAAAACACCCATAACATACAAAACTACAACCGTGACATGAGAATCCTGACAGGTCTCCTATCTTGTAAAATGCACTTTTTGATGACTTTTAAACATAAATATGTGTCAGGAGAATCACAAAGCGTCAGAAGATAAAACCCTCTCTCTTTTCCTCTGTACCCAAATATCTAAAAACGGGGCTACAACGGAGCAAACATTAGACATGTTTTTTATATATGTTTTGATATATCCGAGACCCATAATATATGCCTAAAAATAGCATGATAGGAAACCTTTAAAGTGTGTTGGTTTGCATGCCTTTCATTGTGTTTCTGTGTGTGTTTAATTGTGTTCACTGGGGGGGTCCCTGCTCTGCGCTGGTTTCTTGTCTGGGAGGAAAAGGTCAGCGCTGACAGCTGGACTCAGGGACGCTGCAGGCTGCCATCATGTGTTCTCATCCAGACCCAGGATCAGTTTGCTCAGCGATGGCATTTGCAAAGTGTTACCTAACATTTAATGGGTATTTTGTATCCAAAGCTCCCAAAGTGCTACAGGTATTTAAACTACATGTAGTCAATTCACTTCACAGGAACTATACCGGAGCAGAAAACGTGTATATCAAAGTTTTTAGCATTTAAGACCCTCTGAAGACTCATGGTGAAGACATGGTGTAGCTCTCGATGGAAACGTTGTTGTCAGATATTTTCTGGTGCAGCCATGTTTCCGTAAACCACGTAAACTGCACTCCAGATATTCCGTCTGAATCCTAGTTTACGCCGTTAGCTCGTCCATTTCTTTAGCAAGTTATCTTACGTTGCCCATGATGAGAGGGGCTTATATCTCCTTTTCAATATAAATCTGGATCCAGCTCTCCTTCTTCGTCTCTTTGGTTTATTCTGCATCCTCTGTGTCCTTTCCAGATTTCAGTGTGAGACTATGCTAACTGGATTTAGCGTGATTAGCTTCTCCCAGTGGCCTGGATGCACAACAGCTGCAACTCAACGGCAAAAAAAAAAACGTAATCGCTCTACAAAATAAGATTATAGGTGGCACAGCATATTATTTTACTCATAGAGAAAATAAGTAAGATTAAATAAGAGCAAGTTGAAAATAGTACAAATCTAGCAGGAGCAACAGGTTGCAAGAACGTTAGCGCATGCAGACGATACGCTGCAATAACTCAGAAACCGGACTGTGTTCTCCAATACTAACTACTATTTTATATATTAAGGTTTATAATGCTATTCAATTTCGTATAAAACCTGTATAACAGAAAGCTGCATACTTCCTGTTTGCGAAGCCTGCAAACGTCTTTATTGTGTTTTAATTACAGTCAGAGGACATTTGTGCTCCTGCAGCTGAGAGGTCAGGGACATTTTGATCCGTTTTAAGACGTGTTCTAACCACAAACCTACATTCCTGACAGAGAGCCGGATGAGAGGTTACAACTGGAAATGCACACTCGAAAAAACATGATCCCCTGGCAGAGAGAAAACCTTTTGTTTCAACTGCATCATGCCTTAAGAAAACAACAAAATATTGCTGCATTCATTCTATATGATAGATAGATAGATGGATGGATGGATGGATGGATAGATAGATATAGATAGATGGATGGATAGATAGATAGATAGATAGATAGTAGATAGATGGATGGATAGAGAGATAGATGGATAGATAGATGGATAGTAGATAGATGGATGGATAGATAGATGTATTAGATGGATGGATAGATAGATAGATGGATAGATGGGATAGA